ATAGTTTAGTTTTTCTGAGCGACCCTTTATACAAAAAAGTTATGAAATATCCGTCAAGGGATCGATTCCGGCTGGTGACAAAATTTTGCATTTCTAGAATAGAGCCTGCTAAATGACGCCAAATATTGCCAGCGCCGAAAATCGGTGCTGTGCTTACGAACAGGATCATCATTAGCCTTTTTGATTAGGTCTTTGCCCAAAATTGGGGTGAAAATTGTATGGTGCTCAAACGGCGCCGAATGGTGCCCGAGGAGGCTAAAATGGCACAATATCGCGCCTCCATCAAAAATGGACGTCAGATTCGTAATCAGCGCTATAATTACCCTTATAGCCGCAGTTTTAGAGAAATCAAGATTTTGCCCGAATTCAAAAATTGGGCCATGGGTAAGCCATAGTCAGTACGGCATGCAGGCTTCCCACTTGGAGACAGCTTCGAGATGATAGCAAGCTGTACTTTTGGTTGATGGTTTCACCTCGACCGAAGTCCTTTCCCTGGGGGACATCTGGAAACTTGGACCTCAGGTGTGGTTATGAGAAGAACCCTCACTACTGGCAGGGTAGGGGGTCAAAGCACTCGCTCTCTGACGAATAAGAAAGCATGATGCAGTTGTTCATCGTGGAGTCGAGCATTTCATGGGAAAATGATGAGCTAGGGTGACTGGGAGTTCGTCTCCATGCCGTTCCGGGAGCATGACGGGCATGACGGGCTAGAACACGCGCGGAAGTGTATATTTTTAGTCGCTTGTGTTTTTTTACGGGCATCACCAGTAGATTGAGTGTATACTATTGTTCGCCTTGGAGTTAAATATCCCATAATCCGAAAAGGATCAGAATAGGATGACTAAGTCTTCGCCTGCAGACATTCGCCAAGAGTATGGCGGGCTACTGACTTACCAGGAGTTCACTTTTTTGAAGTTACCTTGAAATCTCGATTTTCACCGAAACTTCTGCTATAAGGGTATCCACTGTTTCGAGCACGAATATGGTATTTGCTTTCAACGCTGGTACAGTTCGA